AGATTTGTAAAAATGGATTTAATCAAACAGGTTTTGGTTGAATGTAATATTGTGTAAAACAGCACCAAGTCCCATTGTTTTTCATGAAATTCTCATTAAGTCAAAAGAACTGACTTAAGTCTTTAAAGACGGGGTGAACATCTTTGTTAAAAAAGCCTGATATCTTAAAAGTTGTAACATGTTTGTTTTAAAAATAGCAACAGCAATAACAATAGCATTTAGACTTATATACCACTTCATAGTGCTTTACGGTTCTCTCTAAGTGGTTTATAGAGTCAGCATCTTGCCCTCCAACAACCTGGGTCCTCATTTTTCTGATCTCAGAAGGATGGAAGTCGAGTCAATCTAGAGTCGGTCAGAATCAAACACCTGATAGTAAGAAGTGAGTTAGTCTGCAGTACTCATTCTAACCACTGCATCACCATGGCTCTTTCTTTAACCTATTGGACTGAATAGTTTCTGAACAGTCTTTCATGGACAAACTATTTTTGGGCAATGTTTCCATTATAGGTTTGGAGATGATGCAGTTCAACTGAGTTTTGTGTGTAGTTATAGAAAAATGATTGTGCACCGTGCACCAATTTCTGTTACAAACAAGTAGGAGATGATTGATTGTTCAGGGCTTCATTGTAGAATGTTACATCAGCAGTATTATTTTTGTAGCTTGTTCACTCTGTATCCCCCCCCCTTTTTTACATACCAGACCCATTGGTTCCCAGGAAGCTTTCTGTAAAGGTTGAGAAGGGAAATCCTGCATTGACTGTGACTTGGGCAAAACCTGTCAGCAAACCTGAGCGTTGCCAGCTGCAGCTGTGGCATCCAGGAAATAGCACCTTGTTACAGCTTCACACCTTGACTCAGTGGCAAGTCCGGCATATTTTTCAGGGACTAGTTCCAGGGAGAAATTATTCCATATCACTCACCTGTGTTGCTGGACCATATAAGGACAGTTCTGAAATGATAGTAATGCCAATAGGTGAGTATGTGTTCATCTTTCGGAGATATTCATATTTCCATCTTCATCCCCAGACTTATCCTTTTAGTTGGAGTATACTGATCACTGCTAGAACATCATAAAATTGGTTGAGGCTCAAGAAGCAGAAGAGAACCTTAGGCCAAATTGTCAAGCACAGTATGCTAAGTCATACAATTCAAATCCATGAGAATTCAAGGGATACTTTCTTCACTTTGATATAGAATAAAGAAAATTTCTCTGGCATTCATATGGATATAAGAAGCTTCCATTAAGTTGTGCAAGTATTGTAGAATCTTTTACAGCTCATCCTTGCCCAGATGGATCAGTTAAGAGTTTTAAGAAGCAAGCCTGTATATGGTCCAAATTCCAATGATCAGAATCGGGATTCTCATACATCTGTGGTCCAATTATCTGTGATTTCAGTGGCCTTTTGCTTCCACTAAAATTGTGAACAAAATAGTGTGAATTAGGCAGAATTTGTTCTATCCCATTTTTTCCTGTATTGCAAATATTTAGTAACTGTCATAGAGACAGATAAGTTTGAACTTTCTCAGTTGATTGTGTCCTGTCTCTCTAGAACCCAGTCATGTGAAGAACCTGCAATGTCTACCTGACACCACCAGTATGTTTCTAAACTGGACAATCATTGAGAGTGACATTAAATTTTATGAGCTGACTGTGAATCCATTTCCAAAGAGAATTCTCCAACAACCAATACTAGCTTTGGTTGTTTCCCAAACTAATATTACTCTGGTAGAGCTGACTACAAATACCTCCTATCAAATCCAAATTAATGCTGTTGGCAGGAATGACATAAAGGGACCATCTGTGACAATCGTGTGCAACACATCTGTGGAAGGTATTGATTCTATTCTCACCATTGATTGTACCAAGGGTTGCAGATTTTGTTCTGCATCTATCAGTTCCAACAACATTTCTTATTTTCTGCTGCAGTTCTTCCACCTCCTGTGAAAATGGACCTCCCACAATTTGATGCCAGTTCCAGAATTGTCATTTCTCCAGATATGTTCAGTGAAGAAAATGGTCTCATAGAGTATTATGGAATTGTAGTCACCACCAATGAGTCTTGTAAGTATCTACCTCTCAATGTTCTTTGCTTGGTAGGAGAGGTTTCCTAATTTACCTATGACCTTAATGCTACAATACTTGTTTCTGTCTTTCCAGTACTAAGGCCTACTCAAGAAATCATTTCCCACACATGGTATGACCACTATTACGGGCAGGAAGACTCATATTTGGCTATGCTGCTGCCAAACCCATTTCATCTTAATGAGAGCACCAACCTCAAAGCTTGGCCAGTGTCTGTGGGTGGAGAAGATTGCAGCCACTCCCGAGCAACTTGCAATGGAAAGCTGAAAACAAATACACAGTACAGGTAGGCATGTAAGAAAAACCATGCTGTAAAATACTAGAGGTTCATTTCATTTTCATTGGTCATCACCTAGAAATCTTTAGGGAGTTTGAAACTAACCTATTTCCTTACTGAAAGTATTTAACAATCATACTAGTCCCATCCATCTCCTAGATTTTTGTGAGAGTAAAAATATAAATATGAGAGAAGCATGTCCAATGGTTGAACTCTTTGGAGAGCTGGGGATGATATAAATGCAACAAATTACTGAAAGTGTAAGTCAGTAAACAGAATCATCAGAAGTTTTATTTCAATGTTTCTATAGGTTCAGCATAGCTGCATTCACTAGATACAGCCGACAGACTCCAAAAGTGTCCTTCACAGCATTCTCAGGTAAGTTGTATTTTTTGGTTAGATTTTGGATTAAATAGATGTTTACGTTCTATCTAATTTCATTAGGGTTTCTCCTCCCAAATATTCAAAGGAATATGTTAAATTATCTCATTAAATTACCAATTGTCCAATCTTTTGCATGTCAATCCAGAAATAAGTTTCCATATTACTGCTATGTAGGATGTATAGTATCAGGTGCAAGTAATCAGGAACAGGAATTGAGTTCAAAACACTAAACGTTTATTATATGCTACCTATTCACAAAAATCTGATCGACTAATGGTCAAACCAAATTAATGCTAGACAAGGGTGAACAGAATTCATGGGTGCTGGACTTGGGTCTCTTGTGGGAGCACAAGAAGTCCAAAATTTTACTCCACCTTCAGGTTCAGCCTACTCATCCCCTACATATAGAAGGGATGTACATTAGAGTTGCTATTAACCAAATAAAGCTTGCTTCGATCACTTCAACAGGACTTGCCCAGTCAAACTCCAATTCCAAGAGAATCCAACGACCAACAAGATC